AACCAAGTTACTAGTAAATGGAAATGCGCATGCGCCCAAGAGTTTCCTATACGTACTGGAAATTTGAAGCGCATGCACACTAGCAATTTTCAACGTTTATATTTTGTGATAAATCATCCCACATATTTTTTGTTAAATGAAAAGTTATCCACATTATCCCTTTAATTTGAGAACAGCACGCGGAATAAAAGGAGATACAAAATATTCAAATGTTTAGACAGTTATTATCATGATACTGCACTTCATGAATCAGGGCACAGGGTACGTACACATAGAAGATTGTTGTTTTATAGGGAATAAATCCGGTAGAATATGAAAATATTTCAGAATAATGAACAAGCGTGAAGTATATGATGTAATTACCGGTATATATTATATGTGCACATTTTGTGAACTTAAACGTACTAATTCACTTTTCAATTTTTTCCGCGAATTTCAGAAATCCACGAACACTCGATTTCTCACAGATTTGTCGGAAACGCCAGAGTCAGCAATCAGTTAGTGGGAGGGCGCCTTTCCCAAACCACGTGGTGTGAATTAACAAACAATAAATATGTATGGCTATTTTTGTCGCATTACTCCATTATTTTTAATGAATCAACATTTCGTAATATCGGCATTTCCTTCGAAAATGTTCCTTATATAAGCGCATATGTTATAACTTAGTACTGGACTACTAGTAACTGGACGGGTATGTGTGCCTCAGTGCTATTGATCGTTTTTGCGTTAATGCGCATGTCTGAAATACAATGATAACATTATTCTTGATATATACTGTCGTTACGACAGACTCTCGAAAGCAAATGTCACGTTTGTTTCTAATATTCACTTCTGTAATTTCTAACTTGATAGTGAATTTATAAAAGATGCTCAGATTGATACAAATTTGCAACAATAAACATAGTGTCCACAAAACAAAACACTCTCCGTCTCAGTCGACCTAAAGGGAATATTGTCAGTGCAAGACTCTTAGACTTGTCTTAAAACCCTGAGAAGAGTTGTCATTGCCGTATCGGCTGTGTGTTGTGCAAGTCGATGTTCTTCGTCTCGGTGACACCAAGTATACGATTTTAACTACAGCACCGCCAAACCAACACTAATCATAATAATGTTTATATATACACAATACCACATTGTATAAACGTTACAGACATCATTTTCGTAATGACTGCATTTATGATCATTAGACGTTTAAATTGAGTGATACATGCATGTTATACGTTCATACAGTCATTTCTTTGTCCGCGTGTTTTCAATCAGGGGAAAGTTGTTTATCTAATTATATCACTGAAAATAGGGTGATCTAGTAAAAACAAAAGAGTCGGCGAACATGATAAATCGCGAGTGGGTTTTATGATAAAGTCGGGTGTTTTTTTTAATAAAATCAAATAGTTTTTTTTGTTTTTTTTCGCAATCTAATTGGATTAGCATCATTTTTTTAAACTCAGGAACAACGTAAAGCCTGTACTGATAACCGAAGCAATGAAAACAGACATTGTAATTTAATAATACTTAGATCTGTTATTGACAGAAGATGACATGTTTCCGGAAAGAAATGCTGAATATGGCTCTGGGTTGAAATGCGGTAATTTCAAATATGACATAATGGCATAAAACCCTGAAGAATTGGGTTGTACTTATAAGGATTATGGATGAAGTGACCGTATTTGGTACAATGACGTGAAGATAAAAAAATATGGGGCAGCGTTTTATCGCAGATACTACGTACCATCAGGGTTACTCAACACTCTGCCGTGATCTCAAAGGATTCAATCGGTCTTTAGTTTACAATAATAGTGTATATTTTCAATAGACTACTAGTACTTTGTTCAATGACTCCCCGTGACTTTACTGAAGAGTGCACAAAAGGACGCTTTACTGTAAACGTATAATGCCGTGTATTTCACAAGTAGACGAAATGTCGGGAGCTGTGTTAATGAAAACCGCTACTTACGGGTTGGCCATTAGACAGTCTAGAGAAGGGGGACATTGGAATTTAAAAATAAAATAAAAACGCACAATAATTTGAAAAAAAAAAAACATTCGACAGGGAGAGTTTCGGAAAAAAAATCTAAAAAAAAATCCGTCGCATGAACAAAAAAAAGCGAGAAAAATATTACAGAAACATTAAAAACAAAGAATGCTGCTCAATAGTGGGTGAAGAAAAAAATGTGCACAGTGTAGTACTGTACACAACTACACCCCTCGCAAATTTCTAATAGTCGCCCCTTACGGGGGGGGGGCGAATGTCTGATTTATTTCGCAGCTGGACGTCTTTCTCTTGAAACTACACACACTATCACACTACTCAATACTTTTAGATTTTCATTCCAATTAAATGTATTATATACAGGAATTGACCCCAATTACTGCCATTATTGGGCATATTTGTAGTCATTAGTCAGACAAGATCACCTGCCAGGCACAGTAGCGATCTGTCGAACAAAGCTGATTCAACGTGTTGCTTCGAATATGCCTTCCTTACCCCCAGCCAACCATCCCAGTGTGGCCAATGTAAAGTACACTCGGGAAGGCAAGACAAAAATAACCTGGGGTGTATTTTTTCAAATTTAACAGTATTAATTAATATACGTAATAATTGCTGAAAATAATAGTATTAATGTCGCTTGCGGGCATTTAACATAATATATAACAGAAAATAATATTAAAAGTATTTTTTTTTGTTTCAAGGGTGAACACAATATTGATAAGGACACATATCAACTTTTTAGAGAACATATCACACGAAATAACTTGTAAAGACAGCTGTCGGCAAACATTTTTGGAACAATCTCCTCATATAAATGAATATTTTTTATTGCAGCATATGTTTCATAATAATATGTAGCCGCACATAATTTTGAGACACTTTCAGCTCAGAATCCAATGATAAATGACTCATAGATTACCATGTTAATGAGTGTTTAGCCTGTGAGAACGGCATAAAATAAAAATCATATTGTGAAATTCAGCAGAGCATCCTCCCATCTTCAGAATTGCTCAGGATAAAAAGTGTTGTTCACACACCCCCCCCCCCCTTCTGAACGTCTTCATAGATCGATAGATGATAATTATGGCGGAAAAACTGCTCGTATAAAGCAAAACAAGTTGCGTTAACAAAGAAGGCGTAAACATTTTCGCCAAATGTGATACCCATTTTTCCTTTGACTGGAGATGGAGGTTTCGATGGTGTAGCTCTATCATATATCCAGACAGTAGTATGCGTTATCACTATCAACTTAATATCGATATGCATTGCAGCCCCTCTCCGAAGAACGATCAACTATTACAGTGATGACTATTACACCAAAACTGAGAAGTTAAAATAATAATCCACTGCAACGATTTTTTTATTTTTCTGAGATGTATTCAATAAATAATTCAACCACAGAAATCTCGATTACATATACATCCTACAGGCGGAGCAAAATTAAGGGTAAGAATTCTCCAGAAATCAAATGTCATGACAAATATTTCAGTCTGCACCTGATAACATGTTCTTTGGCGATACATAAATAAATACCGAAAAATACACAGAGAAAACAAAACAATACGGAACAGATATATATTATCTAAATATAAGACAAGTGACTAAACTTATAACATTTCTGGTGCCCAAACTTTTTTTCAGTTTCTTATATATGGTCATTTCATTGTTTCAGTTGTACATGACAGTTTAAAGAACTTTGTTCCCCTCCTTGTATTTAATAATTGTTATACCACGATCACCTTCATAAACAATTTCAAAATGAATCTAAGATCTAAATATTTGCTGCAGCACTTAACATTCGTTGATACGATCACCCTAAGGCACAGTTTGCTACGGGATTAACACGAATATGTGAAGAATTAAGTTTCATTTTATGGAAAATCGCTGATCATTATTTTTCATAATTCCCACAATGAGACAGCATCATTTCAGCTACCATTTATTTATTCATTTGAATTTCCGATCTATTTTCAGTTATCAAAATCGCGTTCCTGGTGTTTTCCAGTGGTAATTTGTTCCTCGATACAATTATTTCTTCCGAAATAAAATAAGGTCTGAACCTTCACCGACCTGTCCCCTATGCTCGTATGGCTGTTCAAATATTCATGCATGTACACATCGTTAACGAAGTCAGCCAATCAGCATCAATGGCTGCGATGGTCGCTGACGTACAGAGAAAACCCTTCAAACATGTTTCAACCCTGAAAATGGTCAATATTCACGAGATTTGTTCGTGGGTTTGATATCAAATAGATCGACAATACAATTTAATTAGTTTGTGCATAGACCTTAGAAAACGGTTATCCAAGATCCATGGTTTGTGCACATTTTTTCCAGAGTCAAAATGTATAAAATTCAGATAACTTTAGTGATTTCATTGGAGTGTTTTCCCTTGTCGCATTTCGTGCTCGCGTTACAGGGAACCATTTGACATGTACACCTGGCAAACACCAATAACTGCGGTGCTTTTATAAATAAATCGTCATTGTGTAGCATGTATGCTATGGCTCTATGCGACCTATACACACCTGGCAACAGGAAATCATGAGAAAACTACAGTTTATATTGTTCACACTGTTAATCTGTATTTTGTTTTCCATTGTAGCTTTTACTGTTTAGGCTTAACTGGAGTTGCCACTGAAATACAATTTAGTATACTAGTTTATTATATTGACCTCACAAGTCACTTGTAAAAATTAATAAACGCAAACAGAATTTAACTGGTAAGGATATACATAATTTTAATAATGACGAATCTTTAAGTACAGTAATTTGAATCTTGTTACGAAACAATACTGTAAAACAGTCTGAAAAAGCTTGTTATTTTATCAAATAACATTTTCTTTAAATTATCGGTATCATAAGTTATCTAAATGGTTTTTACACCAAATAATTTCATAGTAAAAATGTCAATCCATAATTGGCAAAGGTTATACAAATTAGCTGTGATAACATGTCACATGTTTTACTGATACACCTCAAACTTTGGTGCATTTAAAAAAAAAAACAGCTTTAATTATTAGCTTATCAGAAATAACTAGACAACTTTGTGGCCGTCATATTTATATATAAATATTGAAATTGTCCTAGTGACAGAATCATTTTCATGAAAACAAAAATACAATTTAAACTAAACATCGAGGTGACCAGTTTGGAATAACGTATATTGACTGATGAAATCATCAACAAAACTAGGATTCAAATGTTTAAGAGCTCTCCAGTATAAGTCACCAACTTTCTCTTTTTTACCTTTGGGATGAGTCAGTTCTAACTTAACATACGATAACCACAGGTCTGTGTGAAAAAAAAAAGATTATGTTGGTTAAACCAAGGACTATAGTCTTTGATTAAACAGTGCATGTGCATAAGTAGACTACTGACATTATTTTAAGACAGCTAGATCCATTTAAATTATAAGTTGATATATTGGTTGCTTTAAACTTATACTGGCAGTTAATATGCAAAATGTGTTTTATAATTACATGCACTTGTTTCAGTATTCCATTCAAAATATATAAAACAGTTTTTATTTTACCGCCAGTAAATCTATTTTTCAGTTACCACAATTCACACCTTCTAAAATTTTTTTTAATTTGCACTCATTAATATTCGTTTACATACAGCCATTTTTTTTCATGTTCATTGCTGTACGGTATCAACTCAGATTTGGTGCACGTTTTACAGGAGATTTATATGTGGGAGCATATTTATGACAAGTTTTGATAGACAATTTATATATTTTACAGACATACTTGGCTGAAAATATGTAAAAATGAAAAAAAAAACGAATGTACAAACTAACCAGTATTTGAAGCACCAAACTCTTGAATGGCAGCTTCATAACACTTCCTTAATTTTATAATCTTTGGTTTAGCCTGGAGAAAGACAAATTTATTCATTAATACACATTTATATTTTCAGTGGGCCCATCAAGTTATAGAATTGAGATATTTACAACTTGGTACCCACATGCTACATTCATCTATTCCAGTGATCACATCAAGGTCTATTTATCATTCTTTTGTACATTAATTGCTGTGAATGCTTCAAGACTGATCATTACCTCTTGTGTTGCATATTAATTTCTGTATCACTGTACTGTCCTATGTATATGTGCAAATTTGTCTCATGTATTGTTATTTTTATATGTCCAATATCAATGTAAAAGTACATAGAGCTGGCAGGATTAGGGGATAATGAATGGGTATGTCAGTGCTTCTCATTTTCAACATATTACACACACAGTAAAATTGAAATGTTACAAAATCACAGGTGTTCGTATTCCAGATAGTGTTCATTGTAACTTCGAAGATATAAACAATTTTCTAATTCATGCTTTTTCTACTAAATTTCTGATGCATTTTGTTTTATTTTAATAATGTCACATTCACATGTATAGCCGTAGTACAATTGTCACAACAATGTTTCTGCTCATTCATACTTTCAAATACAGTAATCCTAAAACAGCAATGAAAATAAAAATATGGTGGCACTTAGATATTCCATCTCTCACTTATTCTGTCAATTGGGAAAACCATGAATAAGAAAATATCTATGTGGGAATTCAACTTTAAACAGAACACATTCTACGATCAGATCTAAACAGAAGCAGATAATTTCATCTGGCATTCATGAACTTGAGGCATAACAAGCACACATTACCCGGTAGTTGTATTCATGATGAATCCAGTCATTTTATTTTGCAATTGAAAATAGTTGTACAAACCTTGCCACATTCAATTGATATATACTTCATATAGAAATTCAAGCCAATTGGCTTTGATGCTATAAGCCTACAGAAAAATATGTGATTTTCTGTTAATTGCAAGATCTTGTGTAATTCGTGAAAGAAGCAAAGCAAATGTCTGCTGCAAAAATGGAACGATTTGTGTTCTAATACAGTAACTTTAATTTCCCTTTTTATAGTTCAATGTTAAAATGCCAAGCTTTCAGAGGGGAATACAAATGTATGTGATTGAGATACTTCAGGAGAGGGGGCAGGCACAGATCACCCAGACACAATCCTGATTGTAATGTACTTAAAGTAAGTTTCAATAATTCCCTGAACAAAATAAATTCAGCGAGCTTCTGAATATACATTTGGTGATTTTGCCACAATGAAAAGGTTAACACACACTACCGTAGCAATATGTAAACAAACAAGATGTACCAGTCTTAAATAATTAAAAAATTTTGATGACTAAGTATTTTTTACCTTTTGTATATTTCCTGACATTTCATAGTTCCACCAGAAAATGCTGCCCATTCTAAATATTTTTCCTTCATAAGTAGAGCTACTTGTTTGTGTTGAGTTATGCCATGCTGGGAAAAAACAAAGGTACCACAAACAAATCTATAATATTGGTAATCTGGACAAGTATTCAATAATAATCAATAATTTTTATATCATATTGCACAATTTTATATACATATCTAATAAATGACATCAGAGTGTACATAAAATGTAAATTGCAAAAATGTAACTTTTTTTTTAGTTTTTGATAACCTAATAAAGTTTGTGAGGAAAACAATTCTGCAAAGTCACTGTGATCTGATGTTTTCCCATCGAGGTTTGCACTGCAACAGAATTTGACAATTTCCCTTGACTCAGGAAATTCATGGAAATTTGGCTTTTGCGAAAATAAGTGATTTACATTTTCTCGTAATCACTTCATTTAGCAAATAAATTATGAAATGTAGCATCCCTAGCATGATGGATATTGGTCACCAGTGATCCCTAGGAGTGTCATTATTTATTATCATGGTTGTGGTTAGTGCTGTTTTAGCTAGGTAAAACCTGTACCATACTTCCCAGGTCATAAGCTCAATGGGTACAATCTTAAAAATTATTAAGATATGTGAGTAAAAAAGTGTGTTTATGAAAGAAAAATGTTTATTGGTAGTTCTTTTTTCGGAGTATGTGAGACGGCCCTGAAAAAGCTGGGTTTTTTGTGTGTATTTATCGAAAATATTCAACAATGAAGATAATGATGAAGATCTTGCCTTCGACTGAATATATTTGTTTCTCATTGTGGAAGTATTGTGGAAATTAGTGACAATGCAACTCGTTTCACAATGTTACTTTCCAAAAAATTAATATTCTCCAATAATCTAATGAAACAACATTGATCATTTGGATAATTTCATGATGATTACAATATCAAAAAAACAAATCTTCATTTTTTTCTGAGGTGGTTCAGTTATATGCTCACTCCTTACTTTAAACTTAACAGCATGCAGAAATCAATTCTATTGTATCATTTAAATACAACTTATTTTGACTAAAGACAAATCTGTGTGTCAGCACTAGCACTTGCAATTAGCACTTACAAAAAAAGTCAGGAGAGACAACAGTGACATTCAATGTTCGGAACTGTCGCCTGGCACAAAAACTTTTTTAAAAAAAAAATTTAAAAAAAATTAGACAAATCTGTCATTTACATATATTAAGCAGATATGGTATACAACTTCAGTGAAATTGTAAATATTTACCTGAAAGACTGCTTCAACTTCATCTGGATTACAAGCCAAACACCAAGTTAATCCTAAATCCCACAGTGGTTGTGACTGCTGCAGAGTGAAATCAATATTTTGCTGAAGGTCTACAATTATGACAATCATGTGTTAGCCTTGTGTATTCCAATTTTATCTACTGTAATTTTCCCTTGTAATTTATTCTCGCTGAAGGATGATTCAGTGAAAATAAAATCCAGTGAATATAACTTTTACTTATATTTTACATTCAACTCATTCAAAATCAGTGAAAATAAACACAAAAGGCCTTTTCATCCTTATAAGTATTTTACAGTACACTATATATTGGCTTCCAATTTATGTATTCTTTTCTCAACTGTGTGTTTCCTCATGAGGTGGGGAATCAAAATAGCGTGTCAACAAGAGGCTGGAATTGATATCATTGATACATGGTGAAATTGTATACCATTATTTTACCTTTGATTTAACATGAGATGCAGCATAATCAAACAGGTCCATTACTTCCCCCGTTCCACTATTATCACCTGAAATCAAATTGGCAAAATTTTATGTTAAAGTGGTTTTGCATCCATCCTGGAATGAAGTACAGTTATGTTCATAATGATCATTATAATCACATATAACTAATGAACTGCATATAGCACATTGTGCATGTCCTCTAACATAACTAACTTTGTAGGGATCCTGAACCAAAATGGAATCCCTTAAATTCAAGTTGAGCTTCTGGGTGATGTTGGTTTTCAAAAAATAAATAAGCATGCTACTGCATTGTTGACTGCAAATGTTGTGGCCACGATTTTTTGTTTTTACACGTATCCTGTGAATAATATGTGAATTTTGGTTTACCAAAATACAAGTACTTCAACTATAGTGAGATGTTTTTTAAGATCACTGTATCAATGTATGACTTTTTGTTGCATCAATGATGCACCAATGAATTAGCATTAAATCGTTTTGTTACAGTGTTGTGTCTATCCTCGGGGGCGGACAACCGGGCATTATCTACCACCTGGCAACCCTCGCGGTGAAAACAAAGACCAAAAACTCGCAGAAAACGGTACTTTGCGATGGTTGATGAGAGTCCCCTGAACAGTGTAACAAGATTAGCCCTACGTGTGTAACATATATGAATTTGGTTGTTCAGGATTACTTCAAAGTTGAGTTTGTGTTGTTTTCTCGAGTTTTCATCGGCTCCACCGGCGTTCCACAGCAGCGTGCACAAAGCCCATAGAAATACGTGGTACAGTGGTGCGCGTCGTAGCAACGTGGAACGTCTGTGACGTAGCTCTGCCCCCAAGGATACCTCACTAGAGTGTCAAATAAGCTGGCTGGTGAATATGATGCAAGTAAAGACCAACCAGAGAAAATACTGAACACTTGTGAGGTGAGTGATATAAACAAATTATGAGACAATCACAAGATAAAAAAAAACACTATCCTACCTAGTTTACAATCATTGATAACTAACTGCAATCTCTGTAACCATAGTTTCACAGACTTGATATGAGATTTGGTAGCAATCTCAGCTACCTCCTTAGCTTTGTCAACCATGCCAACTTTTATCAACACATCAACCTTGTACACACAAACAAAAAACAAGTATAATATATACCGGTATTCAATAGCAGCAATACAAACCAAGACACTGATGAGTCTTGGGAAATTTTTATTTGAAGAACTTGGGCATCTGGAGTTACTTCCAGAGTACATGCAAGAAACCAAATATCAATCAGTTGTATTATAACAATTATCAGCATATCAACACTATCATTTACATAATGTACTTATACAGTTTAAAAGTGAACTGGCTCAATTTAATAGATTTCCATCAGGGAAAGTCAATTATAAATAGAGAGCAAATAAATAATCTACAAGTTTGTGACACACCCACTTTCTTGTTAACTTTATCTGTAAAACCTTGATTCAGGCTGCTCAAGTGAACATATGAACTTATCAATCACATTCTACTCACCCACTGTTCATAGAGTTCTTCTGATAACTGGTATTTTATACTAGAAAGCAGTTTGATTGCTCTTAAGACATGCTGTCAAGTAAATTGTATAATGAATTAACTCCCAGTTATATATTCATGCATGTATGAGAAAAAATCACAAACACCAAATGGAATTGAATCAACCATGAGCAACCAAAATGCCACATTGAAACGTGTTACAACGTAAGAAACAAGCAGAATTTTTGTTGTACTCTGCTAACTTTCTGTATGGCAAACTCCCAGTATGCAATGTGATAAACATAAACTCCCATCATGCATCGGGATAAACATTCAATTGACCATTGTAAGATGAACCGGGCATGAGCAGTACTTTTTTTTATCTGAGCTGTTTAGTATGTCTTTTATGGGGTAATAAATTTGAATTTGTTTACCAATAGTATTGAGTTTGTACTTTAGTAACGCTAGTGCTAACAAAAATCAAACTAGTCTACAATATGGTCGGATTTTACTGTGGCAGATTTTAATCATATTCGTGTTGCGTATAACAACGCTCTTAGAATTATATGTAATGTTTCTCGTTCTCTTAATAGTATAACAGAGACTTTCGCCAGACTTCATGTTGATGAGTAAGAACTCTGTTTTAATCAATTTATTATCTAGTGATACTTTCTTTAAATCACGTACTATGGCAAATGTGGCGTGGTCGATTATATTTAAGGCATATCGTGTAATTTGTTAATATTTTTTTTTTTCTTACTTTTTATATGGGCTTGTCCTGAAATAAAAAATAATAATAATAATATAAACAAGGAAGAAAGAACAATCATACCTGGTTACAAAGGTGTTCTGATTGTCCCTCTCTTATTCTTTCCAAGCAAGTTTCTGCATAAAGAGTCCACATTTTTCTTGTTGGTAATTTCTTCACAGCTTTGTCAAACACACCATAGCATTTTTGTTCCATTTGTAACACAGCTAAATCTAAATAACAGAATCAGAAATTGTCGTCATTTGACAATTAATTTACACTAATAAAATTCTACTTGTTCTCTAGATAATTACAGTACATTAATTAATTTCAAATTTTAACTGAACCCAAAAACAGCATGCATATTTTCATTTAATACCAATTGAGGGCGCTACATGCAAAGATATCTAGATTAATTTCTCGTAATTCAATTTGAGGGCGCTGTATACACAAACATACCTGGATCCATCTCTCGATGCCTGGCATCAGCTATAACCTTCTCCTCATGTACAAGATGTCTTCTTGCTAATGCATTCCATGTTAACTCATTCTCTGGGTGATCTTTCTTGAGACTGCATTAAAACAACAAATATTCACATAATAAATATGCACATATTTTAATTATTTCGGTCCCTTAGCTCCAATTATCTCCAATGTGTTTTTTCATCAAGTTACATCTCCCACTTTGTATGTAAGTACGTTCCTGATACCTAATTTTGCTATATATAATATGTTAGTTATACATGTACTTATGTTGTCCAAGAATAACATCTGTCATTAACCTAAGTCATATTTGAATCACCTACATGCACTTCTATTGGGGATCCCTAAAATCCATGTGAATATATAAAATAACAATACACTCATTCTTTCACTGGGAAAATCTGTGAATTTATTACTCAGTTTCATATTATACTCAAATGTCAAAACACTGAAAACAAATTACCAGTGAAAATTAATGTGTTCACAGTTTTTTTTTTTAACGCATTGAATGCCATAGTTTTCTAAATTCACAAAATTAGACCCACACAAATTTTTTTCGATTATTTCAAATTTAGATCAACATCTGTAGCCAAAAAGAAATTATGTCAAACCTCACAATTGTGATTTCCATTAGAAGAGCGCATTGGATTGTGGGAAAATCAATCTGTGCAGCGTGACAACCACCGCCCTTTAAGATTTTACGCAATGATCAATCAACTTCCTTGCTTTTTATTAGAAGTGTCACTTACTCATTGTATATTTCATTTTGAACATCTTGAGTAAAGTCAAACTCCCTGGAGATTGGTAGAAGTGAAAATCTAAATTCTATATCATCTATAAAGAAAAAAGAAAAAAGTCTTGAATGGGAGAGAGATATATAGAAGCAATACAATGATTATATATGCTTGTGAAATATTTTAAATATAATTAGTGATACTGTAAAATATTTTATTTTCGCTTGGAATTCATTTTCGCTATTTTCGCTGAAGGAATGATTCAGTGAAAATAAAATCTAGCGAATATACCTTTTTTCCTATCTTTTACATTCAACTCGCCAAAAATCAGTGTAAATAAATTCCTTACAAAACACCTAAAAAGTCTTTTCAACAAAAATTAATTCCAGTGAAAATAAAGTATTTTACAGTAGCTTAAGCACTTCTGAACAATCAATGTTTTGGGTTAAATTCATATGGCATTCACAAGTCATAAATATTCACAAGCGATGTGAGTATCATGACTTTTAATCTGGATTTGACTTTGGAACAAGATGCTTAAAAAAATGTTGGTGACAAGTTATCATTTGAAGTAATATTTGGTGATTGTGATTTGGGTTATTGACTGCCCTGGTTGAATGAATACATTGGACAAATCAAGCAAAGCAAGTATGGCATAGGGTAAATCAAATAGTGATTTTATGCAAAAAATAAAAGTTGAAGAATAAAATAATCTTCTTATTTAAAGATTAAAACTGTAAATTTACCTGGCATGGATTGAATAGCTTTTTTATAAACTACTATAGCAGCTTTGCCTTGCATTAATTCATCCTCGACAATGCTCGTCTCAACAGACTGTGAAAAAAAATACTTGTTTTAACAACAATTCAAGGTTTGTCAAAGGGTATCGTAATACATCAGTGTGATACAAACAGTAAACATGTTATGACAAAAAAGTGGGATTCTGCTATATGGATACCTACCGACCACAGACCACATGGGAATTGTTAAACTGTGTTACCTAAAGTATATGAATATTAATATTTGCCTGTGTTAAAGGGTCATTCAACAGTGTTTGTTCTTATTAATTAAAGTCAACATTAGTGTTGAATCATAGGACCAAGAAGAAAACGACGAGCAAATATTTTGAAGAATCAAACAACAAGTCGTTGTCAATGACACGTCCCCGTTCCGTTCATATTTGAGTGACATATACATTCAAAGCAGCAACAATATGGATGTTGAACTGCATTCAGTAAAACAAAATAGCCACCAGTCAGCCATTTTCAACACAATCCAAAAAAAAATTTAAACTAAATTTGCCCACGCATGACATAGATTCAGTTCTGATATGGTGAAAATGTGCAATTTTTGTGAATTTTTGACCTTAAAAGGACTGGCCCAAATGCACAGGCATATGTATGATATAATGTATGATGTGTTTGTGAAGTTTGAACTTGATCTGTCCGAGATATGCATCGAAAACTAAATTCTTTAAAACAAAATGGCCGCCAGGTGGTCATTTTGAACTTGATCCGAAGAAAAATTGGTATGCATCAAGCTTATATTATGTTTAATATATGCACTAAATCTGAACAAAATCCATCCATGCATGACTGAGATCCGGTTCTGGAATTGTGAAAATACGTGATTTTGATGCATTTTCGGCCTTAAAATGGCCATCATTCAGCTATTGTTAAGCGGATCATGAAACAAATGCACATATCTATTTGTGACATGATGTACCATGTGTGTGTGAAGTTTGAACTTGATCAATCCAGACATGTCTCGGATACGGAT